GCCCCTAAAAATAATAATTCAAAATAAAACATATTAAATCAATTAAGGTTAAAAAGACTAATTAAGTTGACAAAACCCATATAAAAGATATCAAAATATATAAAAATAATTGAGTTTGTCACCTTTCAAGCTTTAATTAACCCACTTCGTTGCTTCATTGAATAAGTTTATCGATCTCATCGTCAAATGTTTGTGCTAGAGAAGAAATCTCATCCTTTCGTTACCCGTGGTGTTATATGGCCTGAGCTGTATTGCTTGTTCTAATTATCCAGTTGCAATCGTGAAATTTGTTTTTTTATGATCTTAAAGCATATAATGATCAGAGTATTGTAATTTTTGTTTTAAGGAGTTGAAATTCACATAATAAGTACCTAAGTTATTTTTCATCATAATAATGTGCGTGTATATATAGTAAGTAGCGTATAAACGAATCATATGTGCAAGGGAAATGAGAACTTTATGTGATAGCGGCAAAATGAGAGATCTTTGAGAGACATCACTTTTTTTTTGGGGGGGGGGTTATCAATTTCGAACTCATTGGTACAGCAAAACCCGTTAATCCTCTTCAGGATTTCAAGAACTGCCTTCCGTGAAACTCCTTTACACATATGATCATTGCTAGGTCATGTTTAAGTCACAAGGGCCCTTCTCATGCACAACTCAAAACTCGCCATTGAGTTGGACTCTTGTCAAAGCACAGCCCTCCATTTGGCTTCTGCAGAGGTTCATGTCTACATTATTGTGAAGGACTTCACTTGCTTCAAGTTTTTGACGAAGCATGCTTGGTTCGTGAATCGTGATGAAGACGGAAGAATTCCTCTACAGCGTGCAGTTATGAGAGGACGATCGAATAGAGATTGTGAGAGTTGGTAAAAGCGAAACCAGAATCCGAGTTATAATGTGGAAACTGTTTTTCACTTGTGTATAAAGTAGAAACATTTTTTTTAAGCCAAAAAAAAAAAAAAACCATTTGGAGACCCTCCAAGCTTTGGTGGAACTGGGGTTGGCCGTCACCGGAGAGCTTATCAACTTCACAAGCTCTGATGACGCCGGCTTTTTATTACACGGCTTTGTTTTGAATTACTCTTTAGAATTTGTTTTTCTTTTTTCGTCTTGAAAGACGTGTGCCTCAAAACCTTCAATTTTAAGTCTAGGGCTGGCAGCGGCAGGGATCTCTTTGGCAGGGGTCTGTTTGTTTTGTTCGGTATTTTTTTAATATTTTTTTCTTATAGGCAAATGAGAAGTAAAAAAAATTGTTGTAAAAAAAAAATTCCGCTTTGACCATATTGACTGCGACTTGCTCCTTAAATCCAAGAAATTCGATCGATTAGAACATGTAAATTTTACCTTTCTGTTTTGATACTTAATAGTTACATCGACTATATATATTTTAGCTAGACTTTTCACAACTCGGGAAGACGCGAACCCAATTCTTGCCCAACGAACCTACACCCAAGCAATACACCGACTTGTTTTTATTTTTTTTGGTTTAGAGCGTGAGGTACCCCTTTTAATTCGTACTTGAATCGAACACGAAGATGTATAATATTATTCATCGTGTTTTGTTCTTGTCGTAGTGGAATGCAATAGGGTTAATTTGCATGCTTTATTATTTCTAGAATGCTCTGTTAATTAGTGTCATTTAAATTTAAATCTGCAATAAAGATAAGAAAACAAAGATGGAAAAAGAAAAGAAATATTAATGTTCCTATCTACTTTCGCGTGCTTGAGTTTTCGTTGATGGCGGAGGAGTGCAACCATTGGTTATATTCATAAATTAGGGAATTGATGCTGGTGATCAAATAGGGTAGAACATTATATTTAATAAATTATATACAGTTGAAGTAATAAACATGGTTAGTATTATATCAAGTCATTGTATTCCAAGCTATCTATAATTGGAAGATTTAATCTAAAATAATAATAGTAATAATAACATATAGGAAAACGATTACCAACTGCAAGTGCTAATTGGGTTACACAATTTTTTTGCCCCCAACTGGCCTGGGTAACATAATGACGAGTGTTATATTTTTGGACGTTTAATATGTATACATTTGAATTGGTCCACTTGAGACACGAGAACTCAGCCCATAAGATAAAGACCATCGATCTTTTCGTGTTATACTACCACTATGCTCAATATTAGTATGATTTTTAATTTGATTCAAAATATAATATGTTCATTTATTTTATTTTGCATATTTATTTATTTTTTAAAAGTAATTTCTACAATTGTTCCACATAGTAAATATCTTATTAAATGATAGTTTTAGTCAATGCATATTATCAATATAGATGTTTTAAAGAAGATAAAATATATTTACTATAAATAACTAATTTAACTAATTTTTTTAAATTAGTTAATTAAGTCTTATAATAAGGACCGGATGTAGTATAAGAACTAGTTTGACATTCAATTTGGTCCTAAATATAAGGCCCTAATTTATTTTATCTCTCATATTTATTCACTTTTTTTAAGGTAATCCTGATAAAAGTTGCACGTGTTAAATGTTTCACTAAATAGTAATTCTAACTAATACACATTATTAACAAGTATATTTTAGAAAAGAAAATATCTCTTTATTATAAATAACTCACTTAATTAATTTTGTTAATTTACTTAAATTAATCAGCTAGTTTATCTGTTAAGGACCGGAGGAGTATTAGGTGTGGTTTTTGACTAAGCCATCTAACTTCGTTAGTGTTTTTTTAAAGAATATTTTGTTAAATATTTGCCTTTAAATTGTCACAAAAAAAGAAAAAGACGTCAGAGAAAAAAAAACAGAAAACTGGATACTCTATCCATAGATCCAATTTAATCGCAAGCCGATGTATGTGATTAAATTATATTGTTGGCTGAGCCACGTACTCATTGCTTGTCAGAATCTAGCCATTACAAGGAACATTTCGGATATAACATCATTATGTATTGCAATAAGCATATACATATACACACACACACGCATTTGCATGTTCTCCTGTTTTTATATTGTAATTAATAGTAATTCTAACTAATACACATTATTAGCAAAGATATTTTAAAAAAGACAATATCTATTTATTACAAATAGCTTATTTAACTAATTTTTTTTAATTTACTTAAATTAGTCAACTTACTCTTATATTAAGGACCGAAAGAGTATGATGTATGGTTTTTGTTTGAGCCATCTAACTTCATTAGTGTTTTTTTTAAAAGAAATATTTTGTTAAATTAATTGAAACAGTCACAAAAACGGGAAAAAAAAACAACAGAGGGGAAAAAAACAGAAAAACTGGATACTCTATCCATAGATCCACTTTAATCCATTATATTGTTGGCTAAGCCACGCACACATTACGTGTCAGAATTTAGCTACTACAAGGAACATATCGGATCTAACAACATTATATGTTACAATAAGCATATATATAAATACTACCTCTGATCCTTAATATAAGATCCTGTTTAACTTTTATTTTGGTTATAAATATAAGACTCCAATCCACTTTATCTCTCATATTTGTGCATTTTTTTCTAAGATAGTCCTTCTAATAATTGTAGTTCTAACCAATATAGTTGATTAGTAAGTATATTTTAGGAAAGACAACACCTATTTATTACAAATAACTAACTTAACTTTTTTCCTTATTCTCTTTAAATTAGTCAACTGGGTCTTATAATTAGGACCGGAGGTAGTATGTACATATTTGTATGCACATCAACTAAATTATATCTCTCCTGTTTTTATATTATTCATTTTTCTTTAAACTGGGTCATTGTATTTAACTTTTATCGAACCGTACAAGTCAACATGTGAGGATACTGTTTTTAATAATAATTTGCGTGTGGTGTACAATTGGAGGCCATCGAATTCGGGCAAACTTCTCAACTTATTAAGCTCCAACTTGTTACTGATGGAAGGCCCAAAAAGAACTTGTTCCTGATGGGTCAGACCATGAAATTACAGTAGTACTGTTGTTCTAGGCCTTTCATTTACGTTCGTGTGGAATTATTAACTAATCTTAACTACGCGCATGTGACATCAACCTGATGTGTCGGACAAATTAATTATATGAAATGTTGGCCTAGAGGAACCATAAAAAAATATTAAACTAGACAACACGGAAATACTATATATAGAGGTATTAACGAGAAAGAAGGTATGGTTAAATAATTATCTCTCTCTTCCTCTCTTTTTTTAAATGACAAACGAAGAATGTTGGATGGATTTTTTTTTTTTGGCCAGAAAAGAATGTTGGATGGATCAAACATGCCCACAGAAAAAGGTCTTCCGAAAGAAAACTAAGTGCATGTGATTGAAATAACGCAGAAGTTAATTAGTTAATTCACATATACATTGTAAAATACAAATCGAATAAATTGAGGGGCCAGAGATCAACAGCAACTATAAATTGGAGAATGAGTTATCCTGAACTTACGTTTCTAAGTATATTCTTCTTAATTTGGCGTAAAGCAAATAGTAGATTCTAATAATTTGCCGCGAGAGATGGAACTCGTGAAAATTGAAACTGCTCATCATCATCAGGACGATGAGAGAATGAGAGTTCTTAACGAGGCATCATACGAAGGAAGCGTTTCAACTTTGAACATGCTAATACAGCAAGATCCATTAATCTTGCACAGAATTAACTCGCGAACTATCCTTATTGAAACTCCATTACACATATCAGCTTTACTCGGCCACCTTGAATTCACCAAAGCTCTTCTTGCTCATAAACCTAAACTAGCCCTTGAGCTTGACTCCTTCCGAAGCACACCTCTCCATGTAGCTTCTGCAGAAGGCCAGATCGACGTTGTGAAGCAGTTGTTACTGTAGTATGACGAAGCGTGCTTCGTTCGTGACCAAGAAGGCAGAATTCCCTTGCACTACGCTGTTATAAGAGGGAGACTAGAGGTTGTGAAAGAGCTAATTAGAGTAAAGCCAGAGTCTTCGAGGATTCTTGACAAAGGGAAGACTATTTTTCACTTGTGTGTGGCGTACAACCACTTGCAGATCATGAAAGCTTTGATAGAGTTGGCAACTGATGACACCTACGAACTCCTAAATGAGAGAGACTTGGACGGAATGAACACTATTCTCCATTTGGCTGTCATGTTGAAGCGAGTTGAGGTACTTCTGACTTAGTTTTATAATATAATTCTGCAGTACTATATTAATAGCTTGAGTTTATATATACAGCTAGACGCAAACAAAGTCTGCACTAAATTAGAATTTCGCATAATGAAAGAAGGATCATAACAAATATTCTCAGGGACCAAGTATCAATTATTCTATTCGCCAATTTTGTCGAAACAAAAGACTGTGATCTTAATACCTGATAAACCACTTCAAATGCAAGAGCTTACTATTACATCTCATGAAGACCGCATATATCTGCTGCCCTATTCGCGTTTATATATATTTCAATCTTTTATCTGTACTGTCATACCTCAAAAGCATTACAAATATTTATATATATTCATTTGATTATTGCCTAGACTGTGAGGTACCTCATGTCAATTCCTGAAATAAGAGAAGCAACAAACTTGACGAACAGCATAGGTTACACTGCCCACGATATTCTTCAGCGAATTCCGCAGGACTTTAAGTGCCTCGAAATCCAGGTTTTACTGATGAACTACTCTGGCATCAAAAAAAATGGAGGAACGAACACTCCTGCAGCACTGACGAATAATACTAATGTTGTCGGCCAACAACAAAGGAGACCTCGGAAGAAGTTTTGGAGAAATATTTTGAAGCGTATGGGAAAATGGTTCGATCATAATAGTGACAATAATTGGTTAGAAGACATGAGGGGGAATTTAAGTCTGGTGGCCACTGTCGTGGCAACCATAACCTTTCAAGCTGTATTTAATCCTCCAGGAAATGTGATTCAACAGGGTATATTAGTCAGTTCCAACAGCACCATCAATGAAGAAGACAAAAATTTTACTGCTTTTATAGAATCAAGTCCCCTCGGCTGCTTGCCATTCAAGAGTAATGATGGTCACAACGTTACTCCGCAAACATGTCCTGGAGAAGCTATGCTTGCTTCTCGTAATCCAGATGGCTTTCAGGATTTTGTATTTTGCAATACCATGTCCTTCATTGTGTCTCTTTGCATTCCCTTTTGCTAGTAAGTGGAGTTCCTCTCAAAAACAAACTTGTTGTGTGGATTTTGTGTATAGCCGTGTGTGTTGCAGTCACATTCCTCGCGTTTGCCTATTTTGACGCCCTCCTTCTGATCACTCCACACAAACCTTGGTTTACTCCCACTGATTTAGCGGCTAGCATAGCAGGTGTCACTTGGGAAGGATTGCTTTTACTCGTTAGTGTGTACATCATAACCCTCTTGGTTATCTGGTTAGTAAAGATTAAAAAGCATCGGATAAGAGCAACAGAAACGGAAACAGCTTTTGCTTGATATGACCTCAATCAATGCGTGTGTTGTTGAGGGAGTACTACTATCCCGGCAACAGAGGTTTTTCAAGATTATTGTAGTTGGTGGTGTGTGTTTGTATTGTCTGGGATGCTTTGTTAATTAGTGTCATTTAAATTTAAATTTGTAATAAAATTTTGTTTCTCTGCCGCAAGAGAAAACAAAGATGTAGAAGAAGAAGAAGATATTATTGTTCCTGTATCTACTTACTTTTCGTTTGTGCTTGAGTTTTTATGGACGAGAGAGGAGTATAACCCCGGCTTTCCCTTATTATTTTATCTTATTATATTATTATATTCATAATTTTGGAAATGGATGTTGGCGATCAAATAGAATAGAAAATTATATCTAATTAATTATTTGTAGAGTAATCTAATTAAGTATACTTGTAATAAAACAAAAAAAACAGTTGAAGATTAAACATGTTTAATATTATATACAGCCCTTTTATGGTCATAAGGATTATAATACATCCAACTTGATTATTGCGTGCATTACAAGCTTTCTACAAGTAGAGGATTTGATACAAAATAGTAACAAATACTCCCTCTAGTCCTATATATAAGCTTGACTTTTAGAGATGGATTTGGTCCAAAATATGAGTTTTATTTTTTAGTAGTTATTACTTTTTTCCTATTTTTTCTTTAGTTGACTGTATTTAGTACACACTCTCTCTCATTAATATTACCCCCATATATTCTCTTTCATCGTGTTTGTATTTATTGCCTCTCATTTACTCTCTTAATAAATAAGGCAAATTTGGGGGGGGAAAAATCCATTTCTGGCCTATTTATTATTTTTAATTAACTTTAACTGTTAGTTTGTTGAATGTGATTCGATTATCTGAAGCTTATATATAGGATTAGAGGGAGTAGTACTAATAAAACCTCAGCTCGCTAAGAATTTAAAAAAATGATATATAAAAGAATATTGCTAACGTACGCATTAATATAATTTACGAACACTAGGGTGACGCAAGTGGTAATTTAGTTAATCAGGTAATTTAATATTCAAAGTTCGCTTTCTGGGCAAGACGTTTAATAATATTGCGCATTATTGTATTTGCCAAATGCAGAAAAATCATCCTATGAGAAAAAAAGATCATTGTCCTATTGTGTGGTGCCACTTTAATTTTGAGCCATCAAACAATACTAAATTATTTAAATTAGAAAAAAAAAGTATGGGCTCTATGCTTCTATGCTTAGATCCGTATTAATCACAAGTCAACTCTCTCTCTCTCTATAAATGTAATTAAGCTATTGTTTGAATTCTAAAAATTATACATACAAACCTATGTGCTAATTAATTTATATCAGTAGGTAAACGATGTTAGTGAAACTTTAACACTTATAATGTGTTTTCCCCCTTTCTACAAATTTTCTTTTCGGGGGGGAAAAAAAAACAGAGGTTGAATTGGTCAGAATCGGCCAAAAGAAATACAGCTTATGTCTTTGGATTGAATGGTTAACCGGCTGAAGAGGACATTATTAGTGTAATGATCCAATGGACGGGTCAAAATTCAGAAAACAATATATTCAAGTAACATTGCCGATAGAGTATAAATTTATTATTCCAATGGTGTGATGTTATTTCACAAACTGAGTTCTGGACAATGCTTTCACATAATTCCAGAGGATTCGCCACATCAAATTGTTTTAAAAAAATACATAAATAAAACTATTGCAACATCCCATTTATGGTTTAGTTTATTAGCCAAATAAATTCCGTCTGTCACTAAATAAGAACTCAATGAATGTATTCTTTAAAATAAGATGATGAAATATAAATATATTTATTATATCTTTTAATTTTCGCAACCCTGAAGACTATTCAACTACACACCTGATTAGAGTAATCAACGATTAGAACATTAAGAAATCAACGCAACATACTTTGACAGATTCTTTCAAAATGATTTGTGTGGGTGTATATGTATAATGAAGCATACCTACACCTTTGGCATTCACGCAAGCGAGACAATCAATAATCAAAATGGGAACTTCTCATCGTGAAGAAGACACATTGAGCGTTCTTTATGAAGCATCTCGCAGAGGGTCTTTATCAACTTTGAACTCAATCTTGCAAAAAGAACCATTAATCCTCCACAAGATCTCACAAAGTGGCTTCACCGAAACTCCTTTACACATATCAGCTTTGCTTGGCCACCTTGAATTCACCAAGGCGCTTCTCACATACAAACCCAAACTAGCCATTGAGGTTGATTCTTCCAAGAACACACCCCTCCACTTGGCTTCTGCAGAAGGTCACATCGACATCGTGAAGGAACTTCTTAAAGTTAATAACAAGCCATGCTTGTTTCCTAATGAAGAGGGCAAAATTCCTTTGCACTGTGCAGTTATCAGAGGGAGAATAGAGGTTGTGAAAGAGTTGGTAAAAGCTAAGCCTGAGTCTCTGAGCTTTCTTGATGACGGAAACACTGTATTTCACTTGTGTGTAATACACAATCGTTTGGAGACTCTTAAAGGTTTGGTGGAATTGGAACTTGCCATTTCTGGGAAGCTTCTTTACTTCACAAGTTCTGATGGAGTGGGGAACACCGTTCTCCATTTAGCTGTCACGTCCAAGCAAGTTGAGGTATGATTGATATTATCCTTCCTTCTATATCTTTATATACATACCATATATATATATATATATAGTTTTCTTCTTACATGAAAGGGTTATATTTTCCGAGAATTATTGGCTGAAACGATAAATCTGGAGTATTGGTGTGATTTCATTGTGTCATAGAGTAAGACAGATGCAGTTTATCACATGACGATATTTTACGGAGTGAGATAAAAATTGAATAAGAAAATCCGAACTTTACCATATAGCTAGCTAGTTTGGTTATTTAATTTAATAACCATTATTAATACGAAAAAATTGGTTGTAATGTTCAGTTTATAATTTACTCCCTCTAGATAGTTTGCTGTTTTTTCCCGATAGTCGAATCACCGGCAAATTAAGCCATTAGCCGCCTGGTCGGATGGATGACAGCGTCGATGGAGGAAAGATCAAAGAAATTTCGGGTTAATGGGTTATAAGGAAGGAAATGGAGCCCCATCTTCAAATGACCCCACCCCAGCCGGTTATAATATTACTCAATAATTCATTTATTATTATTATATTACAGAAAATTTGACTTTATGCTCAAGTTTGAAATATTTAAATAGGAGGAAAAGATGAAGATGAAATTGAAATGCAAAGCTTCGACTCATGTGATTCGTTGGCGAGTTTGGATTTTTACTATTCTCTTCTTTTCGTCGTTTACTTCTCCTTTTTCTTTTTTGTCAGCCAAACTCTATATCCTCTCTTTCTTGTTTTCTTTCTTTCTAATTATTTTTGTTTTAGCAAATTAAGAAATATGAACAGAGATATATATATGTGTGTGTGCACGGGCGCGCGCCCACTCGCTTCGTCTTCCAATTTTTTCTTGTCATGAGATGAAAGAAAATTACCGCACAGGGAAAATAAGCCACTTCGATCCAGCTGATGAGTTATGAGTTTATTGGGCAAAATAAGCAAACTAAAGATAAATTATAAAATAAAAAAATATTTTAAAAATATTTGGGTCTAATGTTTTTGCCCCAGAATCATATGACACCTCCATAATATATACTAACATGCATGTTTATTATTTCAGACTATAAGGTACCTCCTATCAATTCCTGAAGTAACAGAAATGGCAAGTTTGGAGAACGACATGGGTCTCACTGCCTATGAAATCCTTAAACGCAGCCCGAAATATTTCAAAACCCTAGAAATTCAAGTCATGCTGATGGAATATTCTGGAACCAGAGATGATGAAAAGAACAGAATCCACACTCCTTCTCACACGTCACCGCCAGTTGCAAGACCTCGAATTCGAAAGAAGAAGAAGAAGAAGAGAAACTGTTTGATAAGGCTTTTGAAATGGATTGGAGGTTGGTTCAAACACAAGGGGGACTGGGTAGAAGAAATGAGGGGAAATCTGAGTTTAGTGTCTACCGTTATAGCCACCATAACATTTCAATCATTAGTTAACCCACCTGGTGGCTTCATCCAACAAGGTTTATCTCAAAGCTCATCCAATATTGAAGCCCTAAACTGCACTATCCTGTCTAACAACAAGTCCTATTGGGTTTCTCTTAGGATTATAATTCATGTTATATGAGGGTTATGTTTCCCTTCGTGTAATAATATTATTCTGTTTTGAGTTTCCACTTGTAATAAAATTATTTTCCGATAATTTAACTATGTTATGTCTATCTAATTAAGATGCGTTTGGGTAGAACTCGTATTTATGACCGTTGGCATCAAAATAGGGAAGAAAGGAATCGATAACACTCATCCACACACCAACCTCGGGAAACAAGTACCCATATGTTGGAAGAGAAATGACATTGTTTCATAAAGATTAAAACAGGAAATGGGTTTAAATATAAGGATGATTGAGTAGAAGAGATGAGAGGGAATATGAGTCTGCTGATCAAATTTTATATCAAATATAACCTTTCAAGTTTTAATAAACCCCCCTGGTGGCTTAATTCACCGAGGTTTATCTCAAGAATTGATTTCATCATCACATGTTTTGACGGTGGTGATGGTTCTTTAAAAAGTAGAAGGAGAAGAGATGACGAACAAAAGTTGTGCACTATATCTTGGAGACGTAACACTTTTCTTTAATTTATTTCATCTCCACCTATTTCAATCTTTGGTTAACAAATCTGGAAAAAGTCATAAAATGTTATTTCATGAAGATTAACGTCCTCCTAATAGTATGTAGAAATTTCTTAAAATAAGACAACATTTTACCAGTTGTAACTCTCTACACAGCCTTTTATATAAATGTCTTAATTTATAAAAACATGAACTTTTAAAAGCATATCTCTTCACTAAAAACATGAACTTTTAAAAGCATATCTCTTCACTTTAAAAACATTCCAACATGTTTCATTTCGTATGGCCTGAGCTAGATTGCTTGTGAAGAAATGTGTCAGGATAATCAAGATCTCTATGTAAATGACCCAGTAATGAGAACGTAACATATGTGTTTCCTATATGATTTATTTCTCAATTAATTTGTTTTGTTGTTGGCACTGAGTGACAAACAAGGTGGATCAATTTTACTGTTGACTGACTGACGAACACTTACTTTATTTGTGTTTACATGGTTTATTTCGTAAGCTCTAAGACACTTATCATGATTATATGGCTTAGTGATATAAGATTTGATTTAATTATTTTTCATGTGATAATTAAAATTTCGGGCAGGTTAACTCACTTTGCACTAGAGAGAGAGAGAGAGTTTCTAACAGAACTAAAATTTCATGGAATTTTCATTCCGCAGGCTTGCAATTCCTTTCCATTTAACCTACACCTATTACCAAACACTTTTTTAGCTATCCGTAAACTACGTTGGGAGGTTGCTAAGGTTAGGCGACGATTAGAAAAAGCGGGTTGTGAAACAGCGAACAGAAAAAGAAGAAAGCAGAAGAGGAAGTCGCAAGCTGCAGAAACCATTAGGCAATCATCCTCATCTCATCTTCATTCACACCCAACGTCCCATCCACACCGTTTTCACCGTCCTTCTTCAGCCTCCGTTAAATCATCTTCATCTTCATCGCATTCTAACATGGCTGAAGCTTCTCACTTGATGGTGGCTTCTGTGATGATGCATAGGTGTGGCTGAGCGTCCCTTCTTCTGAAGCAGTGAGAAATTGTCCAAAAGCTCTTCCCTGCGTTATATTGTCTTATTGTTATTCTTTTTGAAGGCAAGTTCAATTTTTTTCCACACCAAAATAAAGTTTGAACCAGGCACTTGGTTCAACTAGCAAAGAGTTAAGTTGTGACAGTTTAGAATCCTAAAAATGCAGCCACGTTAAATACTTGGGGGGAAATTATTTGCCTTTTTTTTTTTTAACAATGAATAAAAAACTGTATCGGACGGGATATCCGAAACAGCAGCCGAGGTAACTTCCTACTTGTTTCACATGGTTTACCTACATATATGACTACAAAGTTCTCTAACTCAGTATACAAATTAATTTGGGCCCAATTAAGTTCTCTAACTAAAAATGGAGCACATCGAAGATATCAAGTAATCCAATTCAAAATAAGGTCAAAAAAATTGTAAACCGTTAGCCTCTATGAACTCACTACTACAGAGTGAGGAATACTTGACGCTAAATATTTGACGGTTATTAAAAAAACCGTCAAATATAGTTCCCCTGGGAGAAAACTTGACGGTTTTAATAGGAACCATCAAGTTTTATGGATAATACTTGACCGTTTTTTAAAAACCGTCAAGTAAAAAACCGTCAAGTATTTTCCATAAAACTTGACGGTTATATTATAACGGTCAAGTATCTTATCATAAAACTTGATGGTTTCTCCTTAAACCGACAAGTTTTATAATACTTGACGGTTGTTGCTTAAAACCGTCAAGTATTGTTTTAAGATACTTGACGGTTATTAATAGAAACCGTCAAGTATTTTGTTTTAAAACCCCCTTCCCTGTTCATTTCGCTCTGCCCAGTTCAAAATTTCTAGCGCCCCCTTCTGCTTCGAACTCTCTAAGCCGCCATACCCACCTTATTTTCGGCCCTTCCCTTTTGTTTTTATTGATCGTCCTCCATCATCGTCCCTCTCTGTGTCCTCCTTCATCACTGCGGCGTCCTCCTACATACTGTTGTCACGCATTGTTCTCCACATTGACAGCTTCAGTTTGTCCTCCTTCGTCACTCGCTCCTCTTATTTCCTTTAGTGCTTCGTTAGAAATAATTGTAGTTGAAAGAGGATGATAGGATGATGTTAGGACTGTTCACAATGCGCACACAGAAAATGGGTTTTTCAGTTTGGCCGAATGGGTTTTTCAGTTCAGCCGAAGGGGTCTTTTGCATTTAGATCAGTTTTTGGGTTTAGGGTATTTTCAATTTTTGTTTTCGCCATAAATTGTTTGGTAAATAATCGAAATTGCTAATGTTTCAATTTTTGTTTCTGTAATTGAAATTGACTGACTGCTGGTTTTCTGCCATAAAGCCTGGGGAATGCTAAGTTATAAGCCGTTATGCTGTCAAATTTTTTTCAAATGGAATAGCACATCAGTAGTAGTAGAATATTTTTCAAACTGAAGTGAAAGTGAATTTTTGTTGAATTACTAGTTGCTAACAACTAGAATTACTAGTTGTTAACAAGTAAAATTAAAGAGGGATAAATGTGATCAATAGTGCCTCATGTGTTTACTTTCTATTTTTGTTTAATTCTCACAATATCTTTGAGTCGCTAATCACATTTTTTCTCTAAATGATTCATCTTAGTCGGGGACTATGGGCAAGAAATGGATGTCCACCAATCGTCTATCATAAGAATATTGGGATGGGGTAGAAGATTTTATTAAGTTTGCGATTGAGCACGCCGATGATCGCAACAGGATTATTTGCCCCTGTCTTAAGTGTTGCCTTCTGAAGTGGGTTTCGCCATCTGATTGTGAGAGCCACTTAATTATCAATGGAATTGATCAAAGTTACAAGTGTTGGACAAAGCACGGAGAGACAAGAGATGCAAGTAATAATAGTTGAGGGCATAGTGAAAGCTGTGGATCATCTAATCTTGACATGAGTACATGTGAAGCCGATCGTCTTAAGGAGATGACAAATGCGATTGAACGGGAACTTGACGATTGTCCTGAAATGTTTGACAAATTGAAGTATGATGCTGAGACACTTCTATATGAAGGTTGTACTGATTTTCAAAAATTGTCTGCAGTGTTGAAATTGTATAATTTGAAAGCAAGAAATGGGTGGAGCGACAAAAGCTTCACAGAACTGCTGTTGCTTGTTAAACAAATGCTACAAAAAGAAAATGAGCTTCCAAGTAAAATGTATGATGCAAAGCAAGTGTTGAGCTTTGTCGGCCTCAGCTATGAGAAGATACATGCTTGCCCCAACAATTGCATTTTGTTTAGAAGGAGTATAATCACTAACTGAGTGTCCTAAGTGTAATACATTGCGTTACCAAGAGAATGGGAAGAGCCCGAAGAAGGCATTATGGTATTTTTCCATTGTGCCAAGATTCAGACGTTTCTATGTAATGTAGAAGATGCGAGAAATTTAAGTGACATGTGGGTAAAAGGGTTAAAGATGACATGCTTCGCCATCCTGCTGATTCTCTAGAATGGAAGAAGTTTGATATTGAGTATCCTGAATTTGGGGAAGAAGATAGAAATCTAAGCGTTGCATTAGCCATTGACGGGATGAACCCGTATGGGATGCAAAGCAGCACCCACAGCACATGGCCAGTGATTTTGTTTATATATAACCTTCCTCTATGGCTATGCATGAAACACAAGTATTCAATGATGTCTATGATAATCTCTGGGTCAAAGCAACTGGGAAATGACATAGATATATATCTAGCTCCATTAATTGAAGACTTGAAAGTATTGTGGGAGAATGGAGATGAATGGAGTGATGTATATGATGCATATAAGAAAGAAACATTCAAGTTGAGAGCTATGTTATTTGGCACAATTAACGACTTTCCTGCGTGTGGTAATCTCTCAGGGTATAGCATTAAAGGGCAACTTGGTTGTCCCATTTGTGAAGAGAGCACAGATTCCATAAGGTTGAAGTATGGAATGAAAAATTCATATATGGGACATCGTAGATGGTTGCATTGTGATCATCCTTACCGGCAATTCAAAAAATATTTCAATGGGAATTCAGAAGAAGGTAAGGCACCTACACCGTTGATTGGGGAGGATGTATTTCAAAAGGTGAAAGATATAGATTGTGAATTTGGAAAACCTTTCACGAAGCATGTTAGGACAAGTGGGTGAAAGAAGAGGTCTATTTTCTTTATACTGCCGTATTGGATAACCCTGAATGTGAGACATTTTCTTGATGCTATGCATATTGAGAAAAATGTATGTGAAAGTTTGTTTGGCACATTACTCCATATTCCCGGGAAGACTAAAGATGGCATAAATGCCAGGCTAGACATGGTTGAAATGGGGATAAGGGAGGAATCGGCACCAGAGGATAAGGGAACTCGTACATTTCTTCATCTGGCAGCTCACACCCTTTCTAAAAAGAAAAGTAGTTTTAATGAGTTTCTTGCTTCAGTAAAAGTGCCGGAAGGTTACTCTTCTAACATTAGTAACCTTGTTTCAATGAAGGATATGAAGTTAAAAGGTTTAAAATCTCATGACTGTCATGTCTTAATGGAAAACTTTATTCTAGTAGCAATACGGGCTATTTTACTTGATAAGGCACGAGTTACGATCACAAAGTTATGTTTCTTCTTTAAGTCTCTTTGCAGCAAAATGATTAATTCCAGTAAATTGCCAAGATTGCAAACCCGAATCATAGTTACATTATGCGAACTTGAAATGTATTTTCCTCCGGCCTTTTTTGACATCATGGTCCATTTATCTGTCCACTTAGTTAGAGAGGTCCAACCGTGTGGCCCAGTGTATTTAAGATAGATGTACCCAATTGAGTGTTACATGAAAATATTGAAAGGGTATGTGAAAAATCGATGTCCGCCAGAGGGTTGTATCGTAGAACAATATATTTGTGAAGAGGCCACTGAATTTTGTACCCATTACTTAAAAAATGCAAGTGATATTAGGGTTCCAATGCCTCGTTATGAGGGAAGGACAGATGGAGAAGGGATTATGGGAAAGAAAGTTGTAACTATTTCAAACCAACAGTGGGAGCAGGCACATCTATATGTACTGCACAACTCCGAAGAGATTGAGGACTATGTGCATGAGCATATTGATGAACTAAAGAGGGATAATCCCAATAAACTTGAAAGTTGGTATACCAAAACACACAATAAACAATTTACAGCATGGTTAAGAGAGCAGGTGCATGGCAAGTATAATAATGATCCTAATTCTGTTTTGAAGAAATTAAAGTTGTTGGCAGATGGACCGAGCAAACATGTGATTTCTTTCATAAGCTACCTTATCAATAGGTTCACTTTCTATACTAAACAGAAAGATGATTGGAGTAAACAGCAAAATAGTGGCGTAACTCTTGTAGCTAGTACCATGCATATATCGAGTGCCAAAGATAAAAATCCTATTTATGCACGTATGTCATACTTTGGAGTGATTGAGGATATTTGGGAGTTAGATTACATTGAATTTAGAGTTCCGATATTTGGTTGTAAGTGGGTGGATAATAATAATGCATTGAGGATTGATGACTTAGGGTTCATACAATTGAATTTGAATAAGGAAGGATACAAGAAAGAGCCATTCATTTTGGCTTCTCAGGCTACACAAGTGTTTTATGTCCCTGACCCGGATACTAAAAGATGGTCTGTTGTTTTGTTGACTAATAAAATGAATATTGAAGAGACGGGGTATGAAGACAATGCAATTGAAGATGGTCCATTTCAAGGGACATCACTTGATTCTCATTTAAATGAAGATCAATCCATGTACATCAGGCACGATCACAACGACGGAATAAGGATTTCAAAGAGGGGGAAAGTGTTTCGTAAGAAGATCAAAACAATTCAAACCAAGAAGAATATACAAAAACATAAGAGTAGAAAAAGAAAAAGATCTTCTTAAACATGCATGTAAATTCTCTTATTATTTTCTTTGATTCTTTTATTTGTTTTAATTTTGTTCAAGTCAATTTCGTCATTAATGACTTTATTTTCATTTAATGGATTCTGATTTATTTTGTTTAATTGAATTTCATTGCAGATGGCAAACGATAGCAGATCTAGCACCGATAATCCATCTCAGCCAAGAGATGCCTCTGACCAAGAGAGACAGTTGCAAGACGAGGCAGCATGCATACAGAGGGGCCTTTGTGTCATGCAAGAGGTCATGAAAGCTCGAACGGAAGGAAAGAAATTTGTCGTACATTGGAATAAGAAAGGCCAAGTTGTACGGTCAAATAAATTTATCAGCTATATTGGGGCAGTGGCACGAAGCACCGTGCCCATTACAGTGCAGCACTGGAGGAGGGTTGATCGTTCAGTACGAGACGCTATTTGGACAGATGTATCGGTAATATATTATAACAACTCAAATTTCATTTTCTTACAAGCTGCGTGACACTAATGTGTTGTTTTATATGTTTTGCAGTCTGCATTTGATATAGATGAGAGCAGGAAGAAGTTTATGGAGGGGAAGGCTGGGAGGGTACTACGCTCTTTTCGATACTTTGTGACACACAAGTACTTGAAGGATCCTTCCACAGTCGACGAGTCCGAGGTTCCTAGCTTGATACGGGACTTGGTCAAACCATCAGATTGGGCTGCTTTTGTGACGTCACATCATGATAGTCAATTTCAAGTAATAATCCTTGCTCTTTTTGATATTAAATAGTCTATTTTGTTTAATCTATATACTATTGAATTGTGAATCGACTTTGCTTTTGCCGGAATTAAGTACCCAAAATAAGGAAAGGGTAAAGAAGAATGAGTATCCCCACCGAAAGGGGCACTTGGGTTATGCAGGCCTCAAGCAAGAGGTGACTCAGAAGGAGGGATCAGATGTCACTATATCCCGTCAGATGCTGTAAGCATTGGCCAGGCAAAATAAAGATGGCCAAATTGATAATCCTCGCGTTAAGGAGGTCGTGGACAGGATGGTGAGTATTATTCTAAATTAAATAATCCTCACATTATTGTCAAATATCTTTAAGCATGAATAACTATGTCAATGTTTGTTGCACAGGAGAGTTTGTCCCAGGAAGTTTCACAGGGGGCATATTCTGCAGATGACAAGGATATATTGAGGAGGGCATTGGGGACTCCTGACCATCCTGGTCTTCTTAGGGGCGTCGATTATGGAGTCACCAAGAGGGATTACTTTGGGTACCAACAAAAGCCCTCTTCATCGTGCACGCCTTTCTCTGCTGAGTTCATGGAGTTGAAGGAAGAAATACGCTAGTTAAAGGAGCAAGTTAAAGCGCAAGCACTCCTAATCGAGTAGTTGATCAAGAATCAAGCACCACAGTCGGCTCTAGAGCCGGGAAAACGGGCCGAGCCCGTCGGGCCGGCCCTTTTAGGCCCTGAAATTATGAGGGCCGGGCTTGATATTTTTCTCTTAAAATGAGAAATAAGCCCTGGAGGGCTGGCCCTAAAGGGCCGAGGGCTTAAAAGGGCCGGCCCTGGAGGGCCGCGGGCCGGCCCTTTTAAGCCCTTTTATAATTTTTTTTATTTTTAAAATTTTTTTATATAATATTAATGTTATTAATTTTTTACATTGTTAATAATATTTCAAATATTTAGTTATTATTATCATTTTAAAATTAAATTTAGTTTTAGACAATAATTTATCCAATTAAATTTTTAAAAAATGGGTTAATTTGGACTTTAATAATGATTTGATTTATATTATATGCGTCGATATTTGTAAACTATATATATATATATTTGATAATAGAATATTTTTACACTTATCTAACTTGTGATTCTATAATTTGAATTAGAAATTCATGAGTTTTAACAACAATGTTTCTCACATTAAAGTAAAATAATAGTTATATTGCAAAATGTAAAAATAAAATTCTTATAAAGAAGAAAAACTTGATATTTTTGTTACGAAAGAAAAGCATACTTATGAAGAAAAATAATTAATTATAGTGATGATGAAGTTTCAAAAGATTAATGATAATGTTTATTTATTGCACAATTGCATTATAGATAAAACTTTTAGATGTTGTTATCTTGTTAATGAATGTTTTAGATGTTCTTAGATATTGATGAATATTTATATATGATAATATTTTATATTTGTGACTTAATTTTATTCATATTTATGTCTTTTATTAATAATTTCATTGGTTTATTTTTATATTTTTATAAAAAAATATGATAAATATAAAAAAATAGTATTTTTTCTTAAACGGGCCAAAAGCCCGCGGGCCGGCCCTGGCCCTGTAACTTAAGGGCCGGGCTTAACAAATTGGGGTATTTTTAAAATTTCAGCCCTGGAGGGCCGGCCCTTTTAAGCCCGCCAGTCCTGATTCCCAGCTCTAGTCGGCTCCGAATCTCAGGCCAAGTAGCAAAGACAGCTGCACATTCCCCTTGCTACCTGAGGTATGATACTTGTGTTTATACAATTACATTCAATAATTTATATGTCTAGCTACCTTGTCTCTCATGTTAAATCAGGGTGAAGTGGACGTTCAATGTATGGCAGATAGCCCTAAACATCACACTGTTGCAACGGGCCGCATGTTCAATTTACTGGGGGAGAGTATGATTCATAATGTGCCTCTCCCTGCTGATCATGTGAGGGTGCAGTTGAACACTGCTATTGATGCAAATTATGCCCTCCCAATGCCCACCCCAGATGCAAAGATAGTGGCTCAAGCAGTGGGTAGCTTTGTTGCTTGGCCTGGCTGTCTTCTTACATTAGGACATCCTTCAAAGGTATATATGTATAGGTCTACACATTTAGCTGATTTAAAATAAACTCTATTTTAATTACTAACAATCTATTTGTCAGTCTAAGGGGAAGAAGAGCCTATTGGTTGATCACTCATTATCATTGCCACAGAAGCAGCCCTCTGAGGCCGTTCAAGTGGTATCATCAAGATTCCAAATATGTCTTAAGGAATATGCAGTTGGGGCTAGATTAGAACATAGTGAGGATTTCATGATTCCCTTAGAGTTTGAGCCAGAGGTCTATGGTCGACCCTTGTCAGATTTCGTCACAAATGAAGCATTAAAAAGAAATTCTGACGCATGGAATGGCCAGCACAAATGCCTGTAACTTTTATATCAAGTATTTGTTAAAACCTTAACTAAATACTTAAGTACTTGAGCATTTACATATTGATATCTTTGTTTGTTGATTTAGATATCTTTTCAAGAACTTTATAGCCCCCAGTGGCCTTGATGACAAGTTCAAGATTATCAGCCCCCACACTTTTGCTGGCCACGGACCTAATATGAAGAAAGACTTATCCAGAGACTTGTTGGGTATCTTCATTTCTAGGGCAGCACCGGGGGCTCAGACTTTGTTTTTGGCGCCTTATGGTCAAGGGTACATACGTAGTATACTGAACTTTCCTAAATTCTTTCATTTTCAAAATAACTTGTAATTGTTCTAATTGTCTTTCTTATCCTTAGGGGACAATGGACGCTGATTGTGGTCAATTCCACAAAGCCGAGGATTTGGTATCTTGATTCTCTTTATGGGGATCCAACCAATCGACCATTTATGGTTTTATTGTTCAACAAGTAACATTTATATCTATTATTTAAATTTAATTTAATTTCTTGCTTCAATCTAATTTTTGACAATCATTAATATTCAATTTATTGTCTTCTCAGGGCTTGGTGGCTATACCGCACAAATCAAGCCTTACCCTGCCCCCCGGTAAAAAACAGCCAATTTGACGATACTTTCCTGTAGAAGAAAGTGAAGGTATTCATTACCATTATTTACTATTATACTAAATATGGTTTATTTATATGATTGACTAATATTATTTCCTTTTCCATTCTTTACAGTGCCCACGTCAGCCCAAAAAAAGCTCCCATTGTGGATATTGCGTGATGAAATTTATGAAGGAGATAATTATGCACAATGCTGACACAATCCCTACGCAGGTAATATGCATTTGTTAAAGTTCAATTTATATATTTAAGAATTGTACTTACTGTACCTTTACATTTATATCTAACTTATGTCATAATTTGTGGTTGCATACAATACTTTGTCAACACATATTGCACAGTGTATTCATCCACTCAAATGGAAGAAATCGTTGAAGAGTTGGCGATAGCCTTATTCTGTCAGTGGGCACAAAATAGATCGGGAAGTGTACATTAAGACAATGTATGTACAGCTTTGGTTTCAATTTTGGTTTTGGTTCATTTTTTGCTGTTGGTTAGTTTTTGGCATTGCACAACTTTGGCAATTGGCTAATTTTGGAATTGGTTCACCTCTTGTACTTGTCCAGAATTTTTATATTACTTTCCTCAAACACAAGTTTTTTAAATATTGCAGTTGGTTTTGGTTCATGTATATATAATAATGTAAATTATTTTTGGTTCATTAAGATGTATATGGCTGAATTGGTTTGAATGCTGGCCTGCATGGTTCTGTTGAATGAGCCTTTGTTCGGTTTCAAAATTGCAGGGGAGCTGTTGGCAAAGCAGAACGCGTATATAAAAATAATGCCAATAATACTTGACGGTTATTACTTAAAACCGTCAAGTATTCATATAATACTTGATGGTTCCACAAGGAACCGTCAAGGTATACTTGACGATTTTTCAGAAATAACCATCAATTTTTTTTAACAATACATGACGGTTCCCAAAACCGTCAAATATACTTATAATTGTTTCAAAATAATTGACGGTTTTTAAGAAATAACCGTCAAGTATTCAGCACATAGTTTACAGTTTTTCTCAAAAACCGTCAATTGTTTGAATAATAATTAACAGTTCTTCATTTAAAACCATCAAATATTATTGAAATATTCGTTGTTGAAATATATGATGCCAGTATACTTGATTGTTTTTAACTGTCAAATATGACTGAAAATAACCGTCAAGTATTTGTCATTTTGTAGTAATGACTCTTCACTCTCTCGCCCTCTCTAATTATCAGTTAACCTAAATTTAGATGACTAGAATCAATTATATTCTTTAAAATAATTATCCTCCGATTCTTTTTATAAGTTTCAAATAATTAAACTACACAAGTCAAACAATTAACTAAAATTGGTTAAAAATAATACATAATTAAAAAACATGCAACTTATTTTCTCGCAACATCCTTATTTATCAAGAGTGTGAATCTCAGAGAGAATAGGTGAAAAGGGATAGAAAAGAATGAGTTAAAAAAATAAATAGAAAATATATAATTAATTAAGAATAAAAAATAAAAAAACACATTAAATATTAAACACCTTCAAAGTTTCATTTTTTAAAAGGATTAAACCGTTCAAAAAATTCAAGTATATAAAAAGGGACAAGGTAGCATTAATTATTAAGTACGAATGGGAAAGTTTATGCGGAGCCCACGTTCAAAATTTTAAGTGGAGCCCAAATAGAAATAAATAATTTTAGGGAGGCTTTAATTTGGGCCCTGACTTTAATTCCGAATATTGAAAATCAAATTATTGACAAGGAAAATCTCGCCGACATTTTTATAGTACAATAATAAAGGTGCCTCCGGCGCAAAAAGCACAAAAGGTGCCGCATATAATTACTGTGATACAAGAAATCAACTTAATTAGTAGATAAAAGATGGGAAAATGACATTAAGGTCCCATGGAGAAGAAAATACATCAAATAGGTCTCCTGAAATCTCATAATTTTTCTGAAGTCCCAAAGAGACTTCAGTGCAATTTTCAGAATCCACAAATTACTGTCTTGCCCTGCCCCTGCCATCAGAAACAAAACAGGAGAAGTTCATTTAGGTGAGGAGTTCCTGCGCAATATGCTTGAGAGAGAAGACATAGGGAAAGAGGAAAGGAGCCATTGATGATGAAATATCTTCTCCGTTACTATTAGTGAACTCCAAAGAGCTTCCATGTGAATCTCCACAAATGTTCAGGTATGAAACTTTCTTTCCTCTCTTCTCCTACCTTTCTTGACAGATTGTGCATTTGTTTGGGAATAGAAAATCAGAAAATCATTTTTGTCTTTTTGGGTTGCTTGTGGGTGGTTTTGGAAATGGGATTCACAAGTTAATCAATATAAAAGCTGTGTTTTTTGTTGGTGTGTGTTAGTGATTTAAGCTGGGTGTGTAAGATGATCATGGGTGCTCTGTTTTTGGGTTGCTTGTGGGTGGTTTTGATCTGTTTTGATATTAGTTCAGTGGCAAAGGAAGAAGAAGATGAAGGTTAGTGTGGGTGAAAACCCTCAGGACAAAATGGGATATTGTGTTGTCAATCAGGCCGCGATAGTTGTCAATGTGTGCCGCGACACTTGTCAATATAGCTCCTTCAGTTGTCATTGACAGTTGCGTGCTTCTTGATGCAGGTTTAAGTTACTGATGGCGAGTAAGTCTCAAAAACATCTATTTTGCTTTGTTCACATAGGGGGAAGTTTATAAATGATGGAGAAGATGATATGAGATATGTGGGAGGTAGTGTAAGAACAACCAATGTAAAGGAGGGCACAAGTTATGAAGAATTGAAGGAAATTATATCATCCATTGCTGGAGAAGAAAGCAACTCATTTCTTCTGAAATTCTTAGTTGTGTTAAGGGAATTTTTTTGTAAATAAATACACACCACTAGTTAGTTTTGTAATTATATGCAACCCCTATGTTTTTTTGGGGATAAATTGTGAAATAGGTGTAGTTTTATGTATATAAAGGTATAAATGAAAGTTGGCTATGAATTGGTATATTAGATTCTGCTATCATTTCAGTTGTCATTACCTGCACCCTGTGTTGTCATTAGACCTGTTATGACTTGTCAATAGAGCACTGTGACTTGTCAATTAATTTGCTGATATAAGTTGTCAACAATATGAATTCAAGTTACTTAACCTGTTTTAGTATTATATGATATTTTCAATCACTTTATCATATTATACTTTGGTTGTATTGTCATATATAATCATTATTAATGAAGTGTCAATGGTGAGACTATGACTTATCAATAGTCGCACTGTGAATGGTAGTGCTATGACTTGTCAATAGTGGCACACTAACTTGTCAATGGTAGCACTGTGACTTGTTGTTCGCTGAATAACTTCTTAAAATGGTTGGGTACTGCGGCGAATATGATCAGGAGCCACGGCACCTTACACAGAATGACAGCTACTTGGGACAGATGGGGGAGCCGCGACGGATATGGTTAGACGCCGTGGTGAATTATCAGTTGTCAATGGTGGCACACTGACTTGTCAATTATGGCACACTGACTTGTCAATGGTGGCACTATGACTTGTCAATGGTGGCACACTGACTTGTCAATGGTGGCATTATGACTTGTCAATGGTGGTACTGTGACTTGCCAATAGAGCACTATGACTTGTTAATGAAGGCACTGTCCCTTATCAATTGTATATAAATTTGAGTAACACCTGCTTCTTAATAATTATATTTTAATGCAAATATTACTTAACATTATAAATAAATGACACGCTCAGTTGTAAAAATTTTGAATATCAATTGTTAATATTCACACATTTATTTGTTATGAAATTGTTAATATCACTTGTCATTAACTCCTGTTATATTAATTGTTATTTTGGATAACTCAGGTTGTTAATTTCTACGCTGAGTGTTGTTGAGCTATATAGAATTGAGAATTTCAAAAGAAATGAGTTACTTTCTTCTCCAGTAATTGATGATATAATTTCCTTCAATTCTTCATAACTTGTGCCCTCCTTTATATTGGTTGTTCTTATACTACCTCCCACATATCTCATATCATCTTCTCCATCATTTATAAACTTCCCCCTATGTGAACAAAGCAAAATAGATGTTTTCGAGATGTACTCGCCATCAGTAACTTAAACCTGTATCAAGAAGCACGCAACTGTCATTGACAACTGAAGGAACTACATTGACAAGTGTCACGGCACACATTGACAACTATCGCGGCCTGATTGACAACACAATATCCCATTTCATCCTAAGGGTTTTCACCCACACTAACCTTCATCTTCTTCTTCCTTTGCCACTGAACTAATATCAAAACAGAGCAAAACCACCCACAAGCAACCCAAAAACAGAGCACCCATGATCATCCTACACACCCAGCTTAAATTACTAACACACACCAACCAAAAACACAGCTTTTCTATTGATTAACTTGTGAATCCCATTTTCAAAACCACCCACCAGCAACCCAAAAAGACAAAAATGATTTTCTGATTTTCTATTCTCAAATAAATGCACAATCTGTCAAGAAAGGTAGGAGAAGAGAGGAAAGAAAGTTTCACACCTGAACATTTGTGGAGATTCACATGGAAGCTCTTTGGAGTTCACTAATAGTAATGGAGAAGATATTTCATCATCAATGGCTCCTTCCCTCTTTCCCTATGTCTTCTCTCTCAAGCATATTGCGCGGGAACTCCTCACCTAAATGAACTTCTCCCGTTTTGTTTCTGATGGCAGGGGCAGGGCAAGACAGTAATTTGTGGATTCTGAAAATTGCACTGAAGTCCCTTTGGGACTTCAGAAAAATTATGAGATTTCAAGAGACCTATTTGATGTATTTTCTTCTCCATGGGACCTCAATGTCATTTTCCCAAAAATGATTGTGGTATGGGAGGTTTTTATTTTACCTAGTTTTTTATCAGCAAGAATATTTAATCTTTAGATATTTCATATTTGTTAATACATGAAACACTTTAAATATGCGATATAACAACAAAAATATAATATCTGTTATTTTATAATTGTTGATACACATGTCATTTAAATTTTAAAGTGGGATCTGGGATGAAAATAACAAACGAAGAAGTGGCGATAAGATACGAAGGCGTATCTCTTGTTTATTTTATACTACCTCGAATATATGGCCCCCTCAATGGCTTTTGTAAATTGTAACACCGTTAGTTAAATGTTAAATTTTTTTATAAATTTTCAAAATTACCTTTAATTAAAATAAAGTCATTATTTAAGTTAAAAGTCATCAAAAGGATAAGAGAATTTTCAAAAATGTGTCATTATAAAGACCAATAATTAAAGTCGTACAAATCACATCGAAAGGGAGGGACATCGAAAGGTGCCCAGGTTCCTATATTTCATGAGAAACCAGCAAAAGCATATGTATTCTAACATTCACTCATCGATGTGTTTCATGGGATGGAATTTAAGCCATTGTTGTTACTTTCTGCCTTACCTTATTGGTAATCTCTTACTTATATGTGTGTTTTTCAGACTTTTATCTGGGCTTATTCGGTTTGATCAGACTAAAGAACTAAACAAAAAGCACCTTATAATTGTCACTAAACCGTGAAATGTTTAGTTATATATATATATATATGCATATGCTTTTCAGATTCCAGCTTCGTAATTCATTTAATCAGACCAAAGTCCTTCAACTAGAGGAAAAACCATATCATACCAGATAATACGCACAATCCCAAAAACAATTCATCAAGCATGATACTATTGAATGTCACTAAAGATGAATAAAAAAAAAAAAATCCTGCTGAAATAATTGTTAAAATAAGAGACTGACAGAGGTTAGCTGAACACTAAACGATTTTCTTCACTTGAAATTTTATTATCACATATGCAATAACGCAACGTTAGAGGAATATATATAGAAACGTAAGCACAACATTAGCTTGGCAGCAAAAATACAAAACCAAAAACATAACAAAAATAACAACAATCCTAAAAACAACTACCCATGCATGATACTATTAATTGTATGTCTCTTACTGGCCAACGACACAGAAGGCATAAATTGGCAGATACAGATCAGCAGCAAAGACTTTTTAACTTATTGATAATCTGGCAACATTTCTTCACCATCCAAATGAGAAAGCGCAGTGCGTTAAACAACCCAATTAGATGAAGAAACTCACAAACCCAAACAGCTAATCCGATATTACTGAGGATGAACACTACGTCTTCATAAAGATGATCTGGGACCATAATTCTGACGGCAAAGTTGTATGCAAGTGCAAGAAAGAAGAGAGTGAGAGACATTCCTATGGATAGAATCCATATGGCAGCGCTATTCTGCAAAGGAACTCCACTTACAAGCAAGAGAGTGACACAAAGTGACGCATAGAAAGAGAGAGTAAGAAATTCCACATACAATATAAATTCATCTTGGTGACCAAAGGACGAGACTGCTTCTCCAGGACAATAGTCTCCATCATCAGGATTCATGCAGTCGAGGGGCTTAGATGGTAATAAGGTGGTTTTGAAGTATTCAGATGATGAGATGGTATTATTGTCTTGAGATGATGATAAGCCTTGTTGAATGAAGCCTCCTGGTGGATTAATTAAAGCTTGAAAGGTTATAGTTGATATGAAAATAGATGCCGCACTCAGATTCCCCCTCATCTCTTCTAACCAATTAGTATTACCCCCATGGGTCAACCGATTACGCATCCATTTGAAAGTCTTCTTAAAGCAGTCTCCAATACACTGCAACATAGTCGATGTTTCTGAATTTCCAACGTCGTCCTTTGTCAACATGATGAGGTTCAACTCGGCGGTTTTCCTGTCTTCTGGACTACGTTCGAGGATATCGTAGGCTGTATGGCCTTCCCGGTTCTGCGTCCTTTCCAATTCTCTTATTCCTGGAATTGACAGCAGATACCTTACAGCCTAAATACAAACACGTAATTAGCAAGGTATTCGGATCGATTTATGGCGATTTTTGAATGCGTTGTGTTCATAAATAATCATGTTCTTATTAATATATTATCAGAACTAGCCAATTGTTGTATATTTGCATACAGTAACTCACAAAATCCTAAGAGAGTAAGAAAATCAAAACATTTGTTTCTTCATAACAGGACAAAGTGAAATAACAGCACATAAGGCGTCTTTGAAAAAATAATTATACATATATATGTGCATATTGTTCTTTTAAAAAGTTTGGTAAACACGTCTAAAACAGTACTAAACTGGCCGGTTCCAATGATAAGATTAAGCTTCAAGTCATCCTAATGTAATAAAAATAAATAGCCCATGCAAGCCTTTTAAAAAAAAAAAAAGAAAAGAAAAGAAAAGAAAAGAGAAGAAAGAAGAGAAGAATAAATTATTATGTGCGACGTACCCCAACTCGCTTAAACTTGACAGCTAAATGGGACAGCTAAATGGAGAATAGTGTTGCCAGCAGTATCAGGGTGCGTAAAGAAGTGGGAAGCAGGCTCTCGTTCAGTGATCTTGGCAGTGGCATAGTCCAATTTCACCAAAGTTTCGAGAGTCTCTAAATGGTTGTATTTGACACACAAGTGAAAAACAGTGGTTTTGTCTCGGTCACGGGGGCGTAGAGACTCGGGCTCTGCTTTGATCAACGCTTCCACAATCTGTGTTCTCCCTCTCATAGCTGCATAGTGTTGAGGAATTCTGTCTTCGTTATAGCGAACTAAGCATGGGCCATTATTAAAGCGTAGCAGTATCTGCACGATCGCCAAGTTACGCTCTGCAGAAGCCAAGTGGACTGTGGAGGGCTGTTCTTCCAGAAGAATCCTTTCTAATGGCGAGGTTGTGATTGTGATTGAGAAGAATCTGTGTGAATCCAACATGACCTAGCCGTGCTGATGTGTCTAAGGGAGTTTCACGATCTGGAATGTTGGCAAGGAGTGTTGGTCTTGCAGCTAACAATCGCTGCAAAGTTGGTTCTTCCCCATATAATGCTGCCCGATAGACAGCATTGGGGTCTCTGTTCATTTGTTCACACGCCTGGCCATTCTCTTGGTTTGCCATCACTCCTGTTAGATAATAATGCTCATGAGCTATACGGTACCCTTTATATGGAGATGGCTTATTATAATCTTGCTCGTCACCTCCGCTTTTCTTATCATACTGCATATCATGCACTGCCTTTTTAAAAAGGAATAAAAAATGGAGAGTCAAAAACATGTGTTGATTTTTTTTTTTTTAATGATTTGCTTTAAAACTATCCTATTCATGGAGGCCCCTTTTCAAAATATACGTGCCAATCAATAAAAATAATTTGTGAAAAAAATTATAAATTTTAGAGATAAAATACTTGCGCAGAAGTTTTTTTCCCCCCTCAAAAAATATCATACTTGACTATTCTCTCATTTTAACCGCATTAGAGACTAGTTAGGACTGGAAAAAATTGCACCAAACCGCAGAAAAGATTAGGGTGTTGGGTGCAAGCGATGCCATCAAGCCCTTTGGCCTAATAAATTATATGAAATTTCTTGAATAGCAAGTGCGTATTAATAAATGTATTTGCTGCTCTCTTTTGGTGTCAGATGTGTCGGGGCTCAACCAAAGGAAAAGTAGTTTCATAGTGCATGGTATTTAATTCGAGTTGAAAGTGTAATTAATAATACTATACTTCATTGACACTTCATGATTATCTTATTTCCAACCTGTGTTTTTTTTTTTTTTTGGGATATGCCAACCTCTCATCTCTCATCAACTAAATATGAGGAGAGAAATGATTGCATATAAAAATATAAATAATTAAAACATGATTCACTCAGTCAATCTTTGGTCATGGGAAATAAGTGAGATCCCTGTTTACATTTTCATTTTCAGAACTCAAGGACCGCGTCACATCATCACGGAGGAAGTCAAGAAGATATTGTTACTTTTGAAATACGGTTGACTCAGTCAATATATGGGCCCAATATATAGTAACATTGGCTCCATCCTATCACTGGTTTTTCCTCATTGGACTATCCACACAACTAAATTCGTTTTGTCCATGATGGTTAGTTTTTCGTAATATGACTAAGCAAGGTTCGAATTTTTGTTAGAAGAAGTATCCATATTTAATATTTGATAGTGTTTTAAACAAAATTATTATCAATAAGAGAATATTTGTGTCTAAGAAAAACTACATTCGTCTTCTTTTTGAAGTAAAAAAGGGAACTTCGTATGAATACTTGAAGGTAAACGATCCGCCTTGCAGACTTGTGGCTTCCTGGAGAGGGTGCTACCTTGTCTAGCAAGTCGCGATCGAGTTTGAATAGGACAAGGATCGGAGGTAATATATGAGCGTAAACGATCCAAAATACTCTTACAGGGAAAACAAAAAAGGGTTCCAAAATACATCTATAGAGGAGATGAGATGAGATGGAATCAAAGAGGCATTAACTTTCACGAAGAAACCGTTTCAAATTAATTTTCATATCAAACAAATCAATTCATTAGAGTAAGACATTCATTTTATGTTTAAGGTTCAATGTGATGAACATAAACTCAAAGAAAAAGTTCAATTTCAAAAGACTAGCATATTAGAAGGAAAAATCTCTTAAACTTATAAATCCCGCTTCCTCAATGTAGGACACATAACATTCAAAATAGGAATTATTATTCTCTCCCTTTGGAATGAGTCCTCTTCATTTGATGAGCTGCCAAAATATTTTAAATTTTATATGAAAAGCAATAAATTGAGTATTTGTTCTTTTTTCTTATTACAAAGGCATCTTTGTTCTGCTTTATATATCTTAATCAAACAATTTCCTTCCCTGTTGTCGTCCTCTTCCAACATGGGTTTGATTTGATCGATTTTCCAATTTTTTGGACAAACATATCTGAGCATATCATGGGCTGTAAGGCCTTCCTTGTTCTGCTTGTTTCTTATATCTGTTATTTCTGGAATTGACAGCACATACCTGATAGCCTAAATACAAACACGTTGGCAATGTATACGGCTCATTTGCATGCCGTTTGTCAATGCATTGTGTTCATGAATAACCATGTTCTTATATATTCACGTCAGAACTAGGCAGTTGTTTTATGTTAGCATATTGATATGCCACTAACTCACAATAAACTCCTAAAAAAGTAAGAAAATCAAAACACATCTGTATGTTTTTTCATAACACGATGAAGTGAATCAACAAGACACAGCGTGTGTCTGGAAACATCTTTATACATTAATATTTTGTTCTTGTCATTAGGCCTTTGGCTACTAAAAAGAAAAAAGAAACTGTGACCACAATTCAGAAAAAGAAAAGACAGAAAAATAAAGTATGTATCATGTACCTCATCTGGCATGTGCATGACAGCTAAATGTAGAATGGTGTTTCCCATATGATCAGGGAGTGTAAAGAAGGGGGCACGAGGCGTGCCTACAGTAACATTGGCGGTGGCATGGTCCAATTTCACCAATGCTTGCAGAGTCTTGAAATGGTTGTATATGACACACAAGTGAAAAACACTGTTCCTTTTTGGGTCAAGACAGCCTAGAGAATCTGGCCGCGCCGTGCCATGACCAATGCTTCCACAAACTCTGTCCTCCCCCTCATAGCTGCATAGTGCAGAGGAATTCTTTCCTCTCCATCGGCAGCCAAGCATGGTTCATCATTAAATTCTAGCAGTCTCTGCACGGCCTCCATGTTATCCTCTACAGAAGCCAAGTGGAGGGCTGTTCTTCCAGAAGCATCCTTTCTAGTGGCGAGGTCGCTATTACGATTGAGAAGAACCTGTGTGAATGAAGCATGATTAAGCAGTGCAGATATGTGTAAGGGAGTTTCACAGCCCTCATGTGGAATGTTGTCAAGGATTGACGCGTTTTGCTGCAACAAATGCTCCAACAAAGAAGTATTGTCGCTTAGCAGTAATGTGAAGTGAAATCATGGTGGGATATATCAGCAAGCTTTTCAAGCATGTGTGGTTGTGTTTGGCAATAATTGTATTCCACCGCGTTTCTTCACGTTAAATTGTCAATGGGAAAAGAAGTGGGTAGAAAGAGAAAACACAAATAAAGGTTTTTTTTTTTTTTTTACCAGCAAATAAAGGTGATGAGATGATTAGAATAAAGTGACAAAAAAGAAGTAGAAAAAATCCACATTCCTTCAATTACGCACTTATAAGAGTCAATGTCTCTAGTCGGCTATGATTGCAGTAATGTCATCGAGACTAGCCAGCTAGTACGCTGTTGTTTATTTAGACATTTATTTAGACTTTTTCACAAAAAGACAATGGTATTAATATTTATTCTTTAATTTTCAGGGTTCAGTTATCTTAAATGAAATTCTAAAGCGAATTATTAAGATGCCCTTCTAGTTGTTGTCGTTGTTGTTATTCTTTGAGTTAGATACTAGTAGACTAATAGTTTTAAACCAATTTGTTTCATCATCAAAACTATATTTCCAATCAAAAAACAAGGTCACAGGAAGATAATAGAGATCTATACAGGCCAATACAGGCCTATATTGCGTAAATTTTCGTTTGGAGTTCATCCTTAGGAGCATTAATTATCTCGACTTTTCACTTGGTAATCCATTCTTTGAGAATTATTAATTTAATTCCAACTTTTTCCAGGATCAGATCTTTCAAGTTTCTACAACGAGATCCTTGCTGCGACCCGTTTTCCATGTGGAATATGCCTGTGATTTGTTTCAGATTTTAAAAACTAACCCAATATGCAACTCATTGGAGAGTTTTTAGTTTATTTTATTTGAATTTGGACCTTACTATTTAATTTAACATTAGAATTTTGAATCATTAGAATTAACGTTATTTTCCTTAAAACCAAGGAATCCACTTTTTGTAGCTGCACAGTGCAGAGGAATTTTTCTTTGTTCATCACGAACCAAGCATGGCTGATTGTTAACTTGAAGCAGTTCCTTCACGATGTCGATGTGACCCTCTGCAGAAGCCAAGTGGAGGGCCGTTCTTCGATAGGAATCCTCTCTAAAGACGAGGTCGTGATTGTGACGGAGAAGAACATCTGTGAATGGAAGATGACCTAGCAGTGCTGATATGTGTAAGGGAGTTTGACGGCCACTTGGATTGTCGTCGACGAGGATTGTTGCGTATTTCTTTAACAATTGCCCCAGAGCTTGTTCATCCCCGCCCCATGCTGCCCGATACGGAACTTCCATTGGGTTCCCTACGTTGAAGAGTTCTATCTCTCGTGTTAGATTATACCTCACTATATGGTATCCTTTATATGTGTGTGTGTGTGTCTATATATATAATTATATGGAATTTCTTGATTAGCAAGTGAATATATTTACATTTTGGATGAATGTGCTTAGTGCTTCTTTTTTGGGCCCACATGTGCTGGGGCTCAACCGAAAGGAAACTTGATTTCATATTGCATTGTACCTAATTCTAGTTGAAAGTTCAATAGATGTTGCTACTTAATTCATTGATACTTTGTTTTCCAACCTTTCATAATTCTTATCAACTAAGGAGAGGAGTGATTGTCTACATAAATATAAGAGTAAAATACACCGATTACCCTTCTATTTTATCTCAATTACAAAAACCTCTCATTTATTTTGAAAACGTATATAAACCTCCCTTACAGTTAAAACATATGTTATACAAACCTTCCTCCTATATTTAAGATGTTATTTCCATTCAGCTAAATCATTAATTAACCGTTAAGTTTGACTTTAAATTATTTTTTGACCAAAATGCCTATTTTTAAATTAATAATTATTTGGACATTTATATTTTCCAAAAAATGTTTTTATAAAATCAAAAAATAATTATCTTTAAAATTTCTAATATGGTATAAAATTTATTAATTTTGATCTAAATGATAAGATTTTATAATTTTTCATATTTTACTTTAAATCATAAAATTTCATAAAATTAGTTAAATTTGTCATCAAATCTTTTATGTTTGCCTTTACTGAATGAAATTGATGTAACTGTAAAAATATAATTTAGGAATTTATTACAATGAGGACTAAAATAATAAATAAATTTTATTTTGATATAAATTTCAGTTAAAAAATAATATTTTTAGAATATTCCTAATGGTGTTAACTAATTGGACTAAACTATACGTTTTTAAACTAGAGGGGAGGTATGTGCAATTGATGTAAACTAGAAGGATAGTCAGAGTATTTTACTCTAAATATAAATAATTAAAACACGGGTTGAATCAGTCAATATATGGTCATGAGAAATAAGTGAGATGATCTCTGCTTATATTTCTATTTTTTAGAAATTATGGCATGGAAGAAGTCAATAAGATACCGTTACTTTTAAAACATGATTGATCCCATCATCAACACATGGGCCCAAAAATAATGTTGGCTCCGTCCTGCGTCACCGGACTTTACACCACTGAAAAAAAAAAAAAAAAACTGGACCAAACCGGTTTGTTTCAACCAAAAAACCAATAAACCGGTTAGTGGTCCTATTCAAAACCGAGCAAAACTGAATTGGCATCAACACGATCAAACTAATAAAAATTGGTATAAACTACTGATGAACCGGTTTAGATGATTATTTTGCTATTGATCTTATTTTTTTATTCAGCTCCTAATAATGAATTTTAATGATAATTTTGATATTAATGATTATTAATTTTAGTTATTGAGAAATTATAAAGATCAAAATTTTTAATGTTATTATATTTTGCTAATGTTACAATCAAGTTATTATTGTATTTCCTTATATTTTGTTATTAGTGATCATTAATGTCGTTATACTTTGTTATTTTCAATTAAATTCTACTATTTTAATGTAACCAGTTTGACTCCAATTTAACTTACTGACCCTTGAACCACTACTCTACTGGTTCAATGTCTGGTCCGGTTTTTTATTCCTTGCTTTAAACAAATCCAAGTTCTGTTTGTAACCAAAAAACAAGTTATGTTTTTTTTTTCTCTAAAAAAATTCTTTGTATGAACACTTGAAAGTCGTCAACAATTCAAAATATGGGAGATGAGATGAGGTGGGATCAACGCATTTTCTAACTTGACGAAGCAACCATTCCAAGTTAATTAAATTAATTTTGTGATGTGAAACTGGAAGGGGAAACGGGAAGAGAGAGAATGAGGGACAGGAAAGGACAGAGAAAGGTGAGGAGGAGAGAGAGAAAAGAGAAGAAGAGGGAAAAAAGAGGGGAGGAAAAATAGGAATTCTTATTTACTTCCTTTGTTTTCTATTATAGGGTATCTTCTAGAAGCAATTTAATTATGGTTTTGAATATAAGTCTTTTTGGGCTATGCTCGATGATAACTTCAACTGTTAAACCTGCCTTATTCGTCATGCTTGCAACTTCTCTGATCTTCGGAATTGACACGAGATACCTTATAGGCTGAGTGAAGTATATATATTGGATCTGAAAGATCCAATTTATAAGAGATGAGATAAATAGGGATCAGAGAGGATTTTCCTTTATTCTTTTCTAGCAGCACACGACTATTTTTCATATCAAGGAATAGAGGAGCCTTCACGTATTTTTCATATCAAGGAATAGAGGAACTTTCAGGTGGTAGCAGAAGAAGCGCTTTACTGTGGATATTTGTTTAAGCCTTTGTCTAATCCCGTGAGTCTTGTGCATGAGATGCTACGTTCATACTTCAGACACCAGAAACTAGCCCACCCAATCCCATCATATTAGGTTTCAGTGGCTGATTGTCTGTCTTTATCGTGATATCCGTTGAGGTTGAACTGAATGAATAGTGCTCCTCCGGTTTTTAATATAGAATCTAATTGCTAAATTGATTTGGTCCTAAATATAATACATATTTCTCATATTTATTAGTCTTTTCTAAATTACCCTATTGATACTCTTTCAACCATAATCAAGTAGAAGAGAGAGGGAGGATATTAAGGAAGATAATTATAATATTTAAGAAAAAACATGTCATATTTCTTATAATTAACTAACTTACCTAACTTTTTTAATCTAATTAAATTACTTAAATAATTTTTATATTAAGGACCAAAAAAACAAATATAACCTGAGAATTTTTTTTCTCACCGCAAGCATAAGCGTGCATTTTAAAGGTTTGAATTTGATGGTTGCAATTGTTCATGTTTGGACTTGGGCTTAGTTTTAAGAAACTCAATTCAAGCCCAATCCTTGATATCCCTGCGTGGGGATGTAATTATAAATGTAGAATTTAAAATAAGGCACCAATATTGTTAATTAGGTTTTTTGTCATTAAGGATTCTGTTCATAGTCTTTTTCTGGTGACAAAGGTATTAATTAATCTAAATGAGTTAGAACATAATTTTTTCCATTATAAGTATCGTCCGCAACTCTTCAGACTCAGTAACAGAATGTGCCAAGTGAGATTTTTATTTTACCTACTTTATGATACGTGAGAATATTAAATATTTAGATTTGTTATCAACAGTTTGGTTGTTTGAATATGGTATATAAGAAAATATCTATCTTATTTGCAATACATTTGCCATTTAAATTTTCAAGTGGGATGAAGATAACAAACGAGAGGTGGTGGGGTGTTTGTTTAGTACCACTGCACTTTTGATCTTTTATTAGCCTGTTTGGTAAAACGTTTTGAGGAAAGAAAAGTAACTTATAGGTGTGATAAGTTAGTTTGCAAATTTTAGATATGTTTATTACATCTTTTTCGCCAATCTGACTTAGAGGTCAAAAGTTATTTTTTTAAATAAGATTGTAAAAACACCTAAAACTTACTTATGACCTAAGCAAAAGTAGCTTTTTGGAATTAAAAGATATTTTTATCCTTATATTTATGTCACTTTTATACTTCTCTCTCTATATTCTTTGTACTTTCCAATTAGCTTTACTTATTTATTTGTAATATTCTCTTAAGTGAAAATAATTCTTAACAACTCTTATAATATTTTTAATTGTTAATATCAATTTTTATTTATGTTTACATAAATTATGCAAAAGTATATCATCTAATTAATTATGTAATATTATTTGGTTCAAAAATTTTTTAAATTACTATGA